AGGAGGCAGATGCTGATGGTACAGAACAGCCTCCTGCCAAGTGTAGTTCCCACTAAAGGGTTCCAAGCTGTTTCACTGAGGGAAATGTCAGTATCTCTAAGTCTTTCCTGGTTTTGGTTCACATTCTCCAGAAAAGTATCCACTACTCTTCTGGCAGGAAGGGAATGGAGTGGGTAAAATCCCACTCTAGGCGCCAAGTCAACATGCTGCACTCCATTTGGAGCCTCTTATCCTAGCCCTCGTCTCAGCATGCCCCCTCCACTGACCTGAGAGCTCACAGAGGAACCCCTGTTGGTTCAGACTCTACAGGAAACAGAATCTAGCATTAACCTGGGAAAGGATGGGTAGGTGTCTCATGACTGCATGGCCAAGGAGAGGATCTGGGTATCTAACTCCTTCCAATCTCTTGGTTGTCTGCCTTCAGAAACACCTGGCATTTCAATTCTTCCTAAGTCTTCCCAAGGTTCTATGGCAAGAACTGTCTTTTCTCTGGAGTTCTCCAACAGGAAAGGCATTTAGCCTCCAGCATTCACCAATCAATTAAATTCATCATTATTCAATTTCCAACTTGCAAAATGTTATTAACATTGTGCTGCCCTTTCCTCTTCTAACCTAATAATAAACCCATGACTTTTTAAAAGTCCATTTTCTGATATTTTACTGGGGTTTCAGGAGAAAGCAAAGATAAGCATGCATGTTCAATCTACTAGAGAGCAAGTCTCACTAAATAAATGAGTTTTTTAAATAAATTTACATTCAACTATTTTATAAATGTACTTAAACAAACCTTTACCTGGACTTGTCAAGCCCCTATTCCCTTTTCTACTCCCCAGAGTGGAGCTAACAGGTTACCATGCTCCTCAGACCCACATATCTTGCTCTCCTCAGCTCTCCACAGATATTCTGCCTCCTCCTTTTCCTCCTTCCCCTCCATGTCCACACAGCTGCCCACTCGGGGCACAGCTGGTCTGCTCTTCCAAGGGAAACCCCCAAGCTCCCTCTGGGCTCTTGATGCAGTGCCTCCTACTTCCCTAAACCTTCCTTCCAATTTCTTCCTTCCCCTACCCTCCCACTTTTTTTTTTTTTTTGGTATCATTAATCTACAATTACATGAAGAACATTATGTTTACTAGGCTCCCCCTTCACCAAGTCCCCCCAACAAACCCCATTACAGTCACTGTTCATCAGTATAGTAAGATGCAGTGGAATCACTACTTGTCTTCTCTGTGTTGCACAGCCCTCCCTGTGTCCCACACACACACATTATACCTGCTAATGTTAATGCCCCCTTTCTTTTTCCCCGCTCTTATCCCTCCCTTCCCACTCATCCTCCCCAGTCCCTTTCCCTTTGGTAACTGTTAGTCCATTCTTGGGTTCTGTGAGTCTGTTGCTGTTTTGTTCCTTCAGTTTTTCTTTGTTCTTATACTCCACGTATAAGTAAAATCATTTGGTACTTGTCTTTCTCCACCTGGCTTATTTCACTGAGCATAATACCCTTTAGCTCCATCCATGTTGTTGCAAATGGTAGGATTTGTTTTCTTTTTATGGCTGAATAATATTCCATTGTGTATATGTACCACATCTTCTTTATCCATTCATGTACTGATGGACACTCAGGTTGCTTCCATTTCTTGGCTATTGTAAATAGTGCTGCAATAAACATAGGGGTGCATCTGTCTTTTTCAAACTGGGCTGCTACATTCTTAGGGTAAATTCCTAGAAGTGGAATTCCTTCCCCTCCCACTTTTTTGCTTCTATCTTTAGTATCAATCTCTAAAGGCCTCTTTCCCTCATTTCAAAAATTTAAAAAAATATTTGTAAAGAAACTATAACTGACTTCACTGGCAACAGCATAGTGGGATAGTTACCCCAAAGAGCCCTCCTGTACAAAACAACTAGTTCTTGGCAGAAGTGTACTTTTTAGTGCATTGACGGGCTTCCAGAAAGTAAAGGAAATCTCCAAGGACCCCAGCACCATAACTAAAAAGAACCACCACAAATGAACAAACTGTGGCTTGAATCCAGAGTAAAATACTGGGCACTATGCAAACTCTAAGGGTAGGGTGACCCTGAAGATGAATGTCAACAGGAAGCCTGCCACCAGGAGGCTAAGCCTTCAGCCTTGCCCCTGGGAAGCTGAACCTGAGATACCACATTAAGAGAAGAACCTTTAAAGGAAGCTTAAGCGCACTCAGGTGGTACAGCCCCTGGACTCCTTCAGAAGCCAGTGCAAATCCTTCCCTAATCTGGGGTGTGACATTAAGACCAAACAAACAAAAACTGACAATCAACATCATGAAACATGATATCATGTTTATTTAAGTATAAACTTATTTTCATTACTTACCATCAAGTAAATTGATGCACTTCAGAGATATACTGTGTTTATTTTGGGGACAAATAGTCTCCCAGAATACTTAGTAACTCCACCCCCCAACCCCACCTCCACCAAGTTTGAGAAGCATGGTTTTGTGCATCCTAGGTAACCTAAAGTAAGAGCACTGTAAAAATGACACCTTTTCAGTAATGGGCCACATTATCGAAATGGTTGTCTCAGTGAAAGCCACCATAAGTGTTTGCAGAAACAAACATACACCCCTAAGGACTTAAAATACTGGATTTGTGAGATAAAAATGTAAAATAAATATCAGGCAAGAATGGGACATGATACCAACAGAAGGAAAAACTCACACTGAAGGTGAAGGTGAAGGGAAAATGGAAATAATTTTGTCCAGGGCTGGCTTTGTCCCTTTTGACTCTTCTCAAAGGCACACAATAGCTGAAAGAGTTATCTTTGCATAATGATACAAATTCTAGCAAATGATTTACTACTGCATTACATAGCCTATGGGAAAATGTTCAAATATGAAATCCTCACAAATTCCACTTACAAACTTAGAGCTTACTGAGATTCACATTACCCTCACAAAGACAGTGTCACTGAGTATTCCAGCAACATCCATCTGATCATAGCATTATTACAATAACTGGAATAAAGACAAGATTCTGCATACCATAGTAACCCAACAGTCCTAAAATGCCTCCACTTGACTTTGCTCAATTGTTTGTAGATGGTCATGTACTTGTGTCAATTCAAAATTCAAACAATCTGTACTACTCTATATTCTCTATCCTTTCACACACCCAATTCAGATAGTCAGACGTTAGCTGAGAAATGGATGTTTTCAACTATTGCATAGTGAGATTCCATTTCTTCCCATTCAACACTATCTGTGTTACCATTTAATTTTATCAACCGTATAAAGACATTGAAAATTGTAAAAAGATATTGGCAGAAAATGTAAAAAGTGCCTATAGCAGTGATAAGTAGAAATCTCAAACTAACAACATGTAAGACTTACATGAAAGTAATTTCACATGCCAAAAACAGCAGGTCTTAAACCTTACAAAGATAGTCATTGGGCTTAAGTTTGGTAGACAAACAGTAGGCTCAATTCTAAATGAAAAGAACAAAATGAAAGAGCATACACAAAATCCTGAATTGCTAACACTATATTTAAAAAAAAAAAAAAGGACAGTCTGTCAGTACAGGATAGAATCAGCAATCAACACATCTCACAGATGGCTTTTTCACTGAGACAACCATTTCAATAATGTGGCCCATTACTGAAAAGGTGTCATTTTTACAGTGCTCTTACTTTAAGTTACCTAGGATGCACAAAACCATGCTTCTCAAACTTGGTGGAGGTGGGGTTGGGGGGTGGAGTTACTAAGTATTCTGGGAGACTATTTGTCCCCAAAATAAACACAGTATATCACTGAAGTGCATCAATTTACTCGATGGTAAGTAATGAAAATAAGTTTATACTTAAATAAACATGGTATCATGTTTAAAGTACATACAGTAGGCATAATTTTTATGACATTCAAAACAAAGTGTTAGCTGTGCAGGTGCTGGCTGGTCTATACTCTCAGGTCCTACGGGGATAAACATTCACTCCATTCTTCATGCTCAACTTTCCTGGAAAGGTTTGCAACTCACCAAGCAGGACTGTTTAGGCACTGCTGATACTACAAAAACAAAGTCCAGCATTAACAAAACTAACACATGCAAGACACAAGTCTGATTAAAAGTGCTATTTCAACATCAGTATATATTTAACAAATATAGAAGGCCATTATCAAAGTAGTGAACAGTTCATCCTTTAAACACAAAATCAAGATATAAAGCTCTATATGAGTAAAAAAGCTTGATGAGGACACAGATCTGTTTTGAAAAATGAACCCAGAAAACACAGGAGCAACACTGCCTTTGCCTCAGAAAGAGCTAAGTCCCTATGATGTGTAGATGCAAAATACTGTATTTGCCATATTTTATTTGTTAAGAATTTCATTCTGCCCCACTACTTTGCAGGTTGTAAGTTTTAATGCTATTAAATGAAACACCAGCAGCTGATCTTAAAAACTACAGGTCCTCCTAACTACTGGAGGGAAAAAAAAAAAAAAAAAAAAACATCATCAGTATCAAAAATGGTAACCTTTCCCTTTATCTTCAGGAAAAGAATATACATCTCAGCACTATAAAGCTGTCCTTGACAATATTTCTCATCAAGTAGTCATGAAGACACCCACACTCAGAGACTGTTATGACCTATGAAAGTACTTTAAATTTATAAAATCTGTAATTCTGGTTGGTTGTTTTCCATAATAATGTTTTTCCCAGTAATAATATTTAAATTGATATCTGTTTTCTGAAAGAAATACTTGTGAATTTTATTTATATTTTCCATAAGCATATAAGTCAAAATAAATAAAAGCCTCAATCCTACTAGCTAGCTTCCTTACTAAAAAAGAAAAAAAAATTGAGTCTCAACTCATTTAAACTAACATAGGAGAAAAAAGAGTGACAGTGTCAGGTTATTTAAAAAAGAGTTATGAGATGAAAAAGGGACTTTTCAAAATCATAGTTTTATTCCTCAAATTTTATCCTTATATGTCACACATGCTATCCCTAGAACATCTTCAAAGGCAATACTTACTGTAACTGCCAGGAAATTTTTCTTCATAAGTAAAATGAAGTTGTAATTCCTCCTCTGACATCTCACAGATGAATACTTTCAGCAAACAGCAAATAATAAACAAAGCATTGTGTGTCTGCCAAATGAAGATGTGGCTAAAAGACAGACCAAAATCACACAAACATCAATATTTCATCAGAAGCATGATCACTTTATTTCTAGTCCATGATTTCTCAATCATTTTGTCCATTCTGTTTGTAATATAAGAACAATGTCCATATACTTTAATGGCCCATGATTTATTACATTGGACCAACGATAACTATTACAGTTTACTTCATATTTCATTCTGTAGATTTTTCTCAGTCAACTTAATAAAAATATTTTCCTTTAGGCATGACTGCACTTTGTTCTTAACTTTATGGTTATCCCACACACAAGCAATTCAAAGCAAAGCTAAAAATTCAAAAAGTTATATTAACACAGAGAGAACATATACAAATACACAACCTAAATTTTAAATGGGCCATCACCAGCAACACAGTACAACACTTGCTATTTGTATGAGTAACCCTGAACTATAAGAAAAATTTTAATTGGATTCAATATAATTTGGAAGCAGGGCACTGAACAATCTTTTAAGAGATTGCTATCCAAAAATGGTTTAAAAAATGCTTAAGCGCATAAAAGGTTAACCTTCCATTAGATCTAATTTAAAACTATAATACTTAATCTGAACTTTCATCTAATATGAAAAAAATAAAGGAAACAGATGTGGAATGAAGTAATACTCAAACTAAGTCACAATTTAAACTAGATATGACCAGCAGCAATCGGGGAAAAATCACCTTTGTAACAATTACATCACTATTAATCTTCTTAAAGAATATATTTCTGAAGATTGTCTAAAATGCTGAAATCAAACAGATTCCAGAATTTATAACTTCACCCTAATGACGGGGACAGTAAATTAAAAACTCTCTTATTTTTTCCTTTAATAATGAGAATAATTCCTTTGTAGCTTTCAAAAGATTATAAGCTCTTTCTACCAATAAATGAAAAATACTTATATTACTAAGGATGAAGAAAACAACAGCCCACTTACTTCTGACATTCTGCTGAAAGTTTTAGCTCTTTGGTTCTAGAAAGGAAGACCTTAATTAGCGCACCAAGGTTTCCTGTTCGAGGATTGTTTTCAACTGGGAGAGAAGAAAAGGTTTTAAAAAGTTAAAATAAAGAACTAAAATAAAAGTGAACATATTATAACATTTATAAAACCAAATTGTCAAATTGAAGTTGCTTGTGGACAAATTTCATTATCAATTTCATATCTAACTAGGAAAATAACCAATGAGAAACTGCTGCTCAGTCTTTCTGGAAAAAAAAAAAATGCTTTGCAAACTGAAGGAACAAAACTTCAGCAGACTCACAGACTCCAAGAAGAGACTAGCAGTAATCAAAGGGAAGGGGTTGGGGAGAGCAAGTGGAGAGGGAGGCATTATAATTAGCATTCACAACAAAAGTAGGTCATGGGGAAGGCAGTATAGCACAGAGAAGACAAGTAATGACTCTATAGAATCTTACTACACTGATGGACAGTGGGGGAGGGGGGACTTGATAATACGGATGAATGTTGAAACCACAATGTTGTTTATGTGAAACCTTCATTAAGACTGTATATCAATGATACCTTAATTTTTTTTTAAGTAAGCAAATAAAAAAAAATACACACACACAAAGTTGGAAGGTTCAATTCTGTCTCTAATGCCTGAATGCTTGAGCTCAAATATTGGTCTTCTCCTGCCTTTGAACTGGGACTTACAACCTTGGCTCTGGTTCTCAGGTCTTTAGACTCGGGCTGGAATTTATACCATTTGCTTTCCTGGGTCTCCAGCTTGCAGAGAGCAGATCATGGGACTTCTCAGCCTCCATAATCATGTGAGTCAATTTCCTTTAAAAAAAAATCTCATTTTATATGTATATATAATATACACACACATACATATATATGTGTGTGTGTGTATATCACACACACCTATACACACACATACATTCATCCTATTAGATGTATCTCTGAAGAACCCTAATACATCATAGAAGCACACAAGTTAAGAATTCATCAGAAGGAAGAGATCATTTAGCCATAATCTTTCATTTTGCTAATGAAGTAGAACAGTCCCTAAAAGGTTAAGTTTTGGAACCAAAGTCAACAACACGTTAGTGACAAATGCCCAGACTCTTTGTTTTCAAACTGTGAGATTACAACGTTCTGGATTATTTGTCTCTTGAAATGCATTTTTAACTATTTCAAAAATTAGAAATACAAACACTCAACAACACTGGCCTGTGCTGCCATTAGAGTTCATTTTCATTCAGATCTAAGAACTATGCTTTTGCTGCCATCCCTGTGCACATATTTGAACTTCTTGAAAGTGTTTCAAAGAGTTAGAAAAATGGAAGTTCTCCATAATTTTGTAAAAATCTAGATCTGTACATACATACTTTAAAAAATAGTACATGGGAATAAGTACACAATTAAAGCATACCTGCTTTATGCTCAGTAACTATCAAGTTAACACAGACCTACCTGCTGGCTGTGTGTTTTATCCCAGCTTGAGAGTCAGTGCAAGTAACAGCGTAACTTTCTTGTGGTAGAATGTCGTAGAACCTTGCAATTCTAACTGTGGTTCATGGACTAGTGGCAAGAGCATTACCTGGGAGCTATAGAAAGTACAGAATACCTGATCTGCTCTACACCTACTTAAGTTGACAGTCCCTCTCAAAGTGTAATGTGCCTTTAAATCATGAGGCAGTTATTACAATTTACATTCTGGTTTCCCATGTGTGAAGTGTGACCTGAGATTCTGCACAAGTCTCCCAGGTGATGGGATTGCTGATGGCTGAAAAACCCCACTGTGAGTAGCAAGGTGCAACACTGAATTAGGAGGGCTGCAGAGATAGGAACAACAGTGATTGAGATATTCAATCTAGGAATTTTAGAATTCCCTCACATTCCAAGCCAAGGAGTAAGAGTAAGGGAAGATTCCATTTAAATGAAGCAAAACCTGAACAAAATAAAACCTTCCTGGGTTTTGGAAATTAGGTTAGAAAACATCAGCCTGCCTTTAAGCTAAGATAACAACAGATTCAAGAAGCACCTACAGGATCTGCATAAGGAATAGGGTCAATAAATACACCCTCTCCAGTAGCAAACACTGCCTTTATGCATACTCTTTAGGCCCTTCCCCTGCTTTATTTTTCTGAAGACATATCATTATGTGAACACATCTGTTCATTTATGGCCTAACTCCTCCACTGAGATAGATCCATGAGGTCAGGGACCTAGATCAGTCTTTTTTGTAGTCTCATCCCCAGCTTATAAATTAGAGCCTGTAATATAGTAAATGCTCAATAAATATCTGCTGGTTTCATGAATAAGAAAACAACAGTAATAATGGAATAAGGAAGAGGTTATGCTGAAACCTCAGCAGAAGAGATGAATCAAAATTGTCAAAAGAATTTTAGTATACAAGCATCATCAAGGAAGACAGAAAATCCATCATCTATTTTAAAAAGAAAAACAAAGCCATTGGGGAAAACATAATGAAATGACAGCAGGCTGACATCTAGGAAAAACAGGAATGATTAAAAATAAGCTACAAATTCAGTAACTAAAAGATGTTGCTAGAATCTTAGAGAGGAGAACTGTAATGTATAAAACACTGAAAAAGAGAAGAAAGGTATTTTCTTCTCTTGTACAGAAAAGAACAGAACAGAGACAAAGGAAAAGATATAGAAGGCAAAGAACAGACATCCAACCTGAATCTTACAGGTAACTCTAGGTTGGGGGAGTGAAGAAACTACAACACAAGTAAGATGAAAACCATAACTAAAGACAACTTCAGAATTGAACTTAATAAGCCAATAAAGAGAACTCATCACATTATAGACAAAGTCATAAAGAAAAAAGTATAATGAGAAACATTTCATTATGTTTCTCATTATATAAGGAAAGTCTTATAAACAAAGAGGCAAAAAAGGTCTCAGGCTTCCTTCCAGGTTAATATTAGATGACAGAATTGACCACCACCTTCTGGGTTTTGAGAGAATTGATAGTAAAGTTTATGTACAGAGAAGTTGTCTGTCATTCTTCACTGACTCTTACACTGTGAGTAATAGGAAAACGAATCCATGAAACTCAATGCAAACAGCAAATGGAGAGCTAAAACCATCACCAACATGTTAGCAGCTGCTTGATGCTGGGGAGACAGACTGAAAGTTGACGTTAACTCCCATCAAATTAGAGGGAATCAGTTACTGCCTTGGACTTCCACTGACGCCCGAGTGCCATGCCTGAGCAGTAAGAACCACTTCTCATGACTAAAGGCAACACCCCAGGACTAAAGAAAACCCAGAAATAGTAACAGGAGACCCAGGAGAACAGGTGAGAGAGAAAGGGGCAGAAAAATATCTGAAAAAGTTGTGGGAAATAAAACCTCTCTTTATTTTTCAGCGTTCTGGTAAAAGAAGCTTTCACCGCCTCCCCTGGGTCAGGGGAACATGCTATGAAGTGAGAGACTGTCTCCTTTCACTTACAGAAACATTTCACACACCATAAGGATTAGAACTGTAGCTGTGTGTTCAACACCTCTGCTATATCACCAAAAGCCAAGCACTTACATCGCAAGGTAAGCAGCCAAGCTCACTCCAAAGGTACAGGAGAGACTGGAGTATTAGCTTCCTAAGTACATGTACATCAAGGTCGAGTGAGGCCCAGAATCTGGAGACATCTCTGGGTTTAAAAAGCCAAGACAAGGAGTTAGTGCAGGTATCTGGCTCCTGAAGAGATTTTATTTACATAGCAAAGGGATGGAGTAAATAGGAGGCCCTTTCAGAAGCTGAGGGGGACAGATAACACCTTCCCCCTTATAAATGGAGAAAATCTTTTCCTCATCCCTTACCTATAGGATGTCTGCTTACTCACATAAAACAATTGACCTGGTTCTCATAGAATTGTCCTAGCAGGTAAGAACTAGGACAAAGGAAGACCAATGTACTTATTTATTTACTGTGAGGTATTTAATAAGAAATCTGTCTCTGATTCAGAAAACTTCATGTGTGCATTCAGAAAAAAAATGTAATAAATATAAATATAAAAAGCCCAACAGAAATAATAACCACAAGTTTTCCAAAACAGATTTAAAAAAAAAAAATTACACATCCAAGAATATTGGCAAACTCCAAGTAGAATAAAAA